GAGTACTCTGCCAAACGTAGCTCTCGCTTCCGAACCGTTTAGTTGTTCTGCTTCGGATGGCAACATTGTCGATGAAGTGTGTTAAAATCGCTATACTCTGCACCTAGGCGTGGATGGTAGCGTAACGGTGGGGAGCAAGGCCCATCACACCGCAATGCGTCCGGCGTTGTTTTAGGACTGTAAAGCTTCGTCGCTGTTTGTGGAAGACCGAAGAAGATTAATTCCTTCTGACCATCTTCAAAACAATGCGTGATTAATATGGCAATCTCTGATTGGAAACGCTTAAGTACGATTAGTGGCCTTGGACAATGAATCAACTGCTTGTCAACGTAATGACGGGTTTAGCTGCACTAACTACGTTGCTTGCTTGGTTGTTGGTCTGTTCGCCGAGCTTGGCAGTTGGATTGCAAACGTTTCATCACCAATCGAGGTGACATCGTCAGTGCAGGGTTGAGTGGGTGAATTCTTCCTCTTCTGCCTGTGATTGTATAGCTTCTAAACAGTATCTGGTAGTTCTGGAAACGATCATCGTGTAGTTTGATTGGTCTGTGAATCTCACGTGGTTTCAATCTCCTGTGTCTGGTTGCTACGTAGGGTGCATTCATTTCGGCAGTTCTGTATGTGGTTGTCATGCTGTGATTCGGTCGTTTCCTTCTTGCTTTGTGGGGTTGCTTGCTTCACATTCCAGGCCGATCGCTTCGTCTGCTTGCTGAAACAGGTTTTATTTAAAAAAAAAACAGCCAGATGGTCGATGCGCGACCTGAAAACGAAGCATGAACCACATAACAGTAGGTCTAATCCGTCCTGATACATGTGAAGGTATCAGAGATCTAGCCTATCGATAATTTAAATTACTTACTGGAACGGTAGTACCACGAAACTAAAGGCGCTTTATTATCCCTTCGGTCGTTTTTTTCTGGTAGATTCATTTTCTATCCTTTCTTGTGTCACGTGGCTCGGATAGTCGAACGACGGTTCACGTTGTCAGACTGAGCTAAACTGAATGGTATTCCCTCTCTCTTTATCCTTACTCCTGAACACAGTTTCAACAAACGGGATAGCTATACTCTCGATAGATTGTTTATTGCACCGAATTTTAGCGGACGATTGCCCTGATAGGCTTATTTGTGCTTGGGTTACCTTTCGATCTCCAACATTATCAAAGCCATCGGTGTTAGTAGCGCCTTATCATTTGCTGCGGCTTTACCTCGGTCTTCTGTTGAAGCCGTAGGTTTTGCTCTTACAACTTATCGACACATGTGTTTGACAGCGAAGTCTCATCGGTAACGGAGGTTGGTGGTGAAATTTTTGTGTTTGCTAACAATGTCACCCATGGAAGTGCTCTATTTACTTGCTGATTGCGTTGTCGTTGATACTATTATATTATTATCGTTGTTATCACTATACAGTTCACTGGTTTCTTTTGTTTCACGTTTCAGGCTTTGTCTGACCGGGTCGTGTTCTACACTCCGGACCATGACACCAAAATCGCTGGTCTGTACGATCTGCAGCACACGATTGGACGGGGTCACTATGCCGTAGTTAAACTTGCTCGTCACGTTTTCACTGGGGAGAAAGTTGCGGTCAAGGTCATTGATAAAACCAAACTTGACGATGTTGCACAAGATCACCTCTTCCAGGAAGTTGTATGTATGAAATTAGTCCAACACCCAAATGTGGTTCGTCTGTACGAGGTGATCGACACACCGGCTAAGTTGTACTTGATTCTGGAACTCGGTGACGGGGGTGATTTGTACGACTACATCACCAAACAGGGGTGCGGATTGCACGAAAAAGTGGCCAAGCGTTATTTCCGTCAAATCGTCACAGCCATTGCTTATTGTCACAAATTGCACGTTGTTCACCGTGATCTCAAACCCGAAAATGTCGTCTTCTTCGAAAAACTTGGTGTGGTAAAACTCACGGATTTTGGCTTCAGTAATCGTTTCACGCCGGGAATGCATTTGGATACTGCTTGCGGCTCTTTGGCGTACTCAGCTCCAGAAATTCTTCTTGGTGATCCTTATGATGCCCCAAAGGTGGATATCTGGTCTTTGGGTGTGATTTTATATATGTTAGTTTGCGGTCGACTACCTTTTCAGGAGGTTACCGACAGTGAAACAGTAACCAAAATTATGGACTGTGATTACATCATACCCGACTATCTCTCCCCAGAATGCAAACGTCTCATCAGTCGGTTGCTGGTTCGTGAACCGGAGAAACGTGCTCATTTAGATGATGTTTTGCTGGCAGACTGGTTGAAGCCGTGTGAGTCGGATGAGTTACCCATTGAGATGTTTTCCGTCCCGCTTGTATCCCGTGAATGTCTATCATTCGAGGATCATATGGAAATTCTTTCCAAGATGTCTGAAGGTCAGTTGGCCACAGTAGAGGAGATTCAGTCGACTCTAGATCGGAATGAGTACAATCACATTGCAGCAACCTACTATTTGTTAGCTGAGCGTAAACTGAAACGCAACTATGTTGAACAATACAAGGTTCTAATGAGACAGGCCCAGATGAGTGAAAAACTGCAGCGACAGCAGCAACAACAACTGCAGGAGAACTCGTGCCCACCTGAGAAATCCTGGGTCGCTCAGTACAACGAGATGTCTGGAAAATCGGTCAACACGAACTCGGCCGTTCTTACCGGTACTCGCGTAGTTTCCTCGGTAAATCAGACTGCCAATCAGACCCCTGCGCAACCAACAGAAGAGCGTATCAGACGATTCAGCATGATCTTGGAGGATGAGGAAGAAGAAGAGGAAGAGGATCACAGGTCCCCAATGATTTCCACTTTTCGACAGTATTTGGCTGAGGAGTATGAGCGAGCTGGTCTTGTTGATAATGTCACAGCAGACAACAAGGTGCTTGAGTCCTGTTTATCCGAGACCCTCATGGAGGAGGAAGAGGAGGAAGAACTGATGACCGTCGCAAATCTGGCGTGTGTTCGATCTGATCTACTGGCGGAACAGGCTGGCAATACCGCAACACTTGGCTTCAACAGTTTTTCCGATCATCTTTCCAACGCACCTGCTTTGACAAGACCATGTTCTAGAACCAGTGGCTCAGGACTGGAGGCCTCTGACGGTGCTGAATCTGATGCTTCGCTGAGCAATTGGAGTACTGGTGGTAGCACCGCTATAGGTTCGGCCCCTACTGCCCGCGTCTTACACCCAGTGGAACTTCGTCGTAAATCACATTATCGCCGAGGTGCCATCCACCATAGGCCGTTGATATCTGTTAAGAGTAGCCCACAGTTGTTGAAGCACATAACAGAAGAAGACTGGAACGGTAGCATTGGTGGATTGGATAAAGATGGGACATTCGCGTCGAACAAGCTTGACAGTGACTTTGAATCTGATTCATCACGGCACAATAAGCACAAATTTCCAGAGTACGCAACCGGGACGCATTCTTTACGCACTTCATTTCGCACACGTTCCCAACGAGTTTCTTTAGATGAACAATCGATGGGCCTCCGTTCCCGCCTTTCCTGGACCGGCCAAGGGGTCCGCTCAACCACTCACAGTCCCACACGGACAAGGAGATTTTTCACATCCACTGGTTACACATCACGACCTACGAGTTGGAACACGGCCTTCAATATGAGTATTCTCAATGAATTTCGCCGTCGCTCTGTCTGCTCGTCGCCCGTTGAACAATCCAACCAAACAGGTGGCTTGCTGCCAAGACGAAAACCGCCATATCAGCCCTCTCAGAGCCTTGTCAGTGGCCGCAGCCAACTAAGCGATCGACGTTGCAGTGGGCCACCGGGTTTAATGCTGTCCGTATCCAACTTTTACCAACTGAACACAATTGCACCCGCGCCTAGTCGTTCTGGCTCGGAGTCCTCTTTTCCTGAGCAGGGTGACCACCATTTCAGTCGGTTGCCGGAAACCTTAGAAAGCGGAAACTATCTAGGTATTCGACAGAAATCCGGTTTGACAGATCTGCCCAGAGAGTCAACTTCGGGCTTGCACACTGGTGAGGCCACTGGATCAAAAGTAAACAACCACGCCGATACCCACCGTTTAACTGCTAACTCTATGACAGAGTATAACCGACTACCAAGGTCTGAAACTCATTCACCCACACATCAAATCTCCACACCCCAACGGTGCGCATTGACCAGATCTCCTCATCGCGGTTTTAGCCCGACCCACAGGGTTGATAATTGGTGTAGGTCTGCGCCTTTGCTATATGGTGCCGAATCATCATCCGTCAGTGATACGTGGAGTCCCGGTTCGGGAGTTGCTCCCAACGGTACAACTCTGAGCTCTATAAATGGGGCTCTGTTGTCACAGGCAGGACCCACCGGCCTACGAGAACATTGCACTCCTATTCGTGAGGAAGAAGATGAAGTTCTACGTTCAGGAGAGGTCAATCATCCTGTACCCTATTCAAAAACTATAGAGCCAAGTTACAATCGAAGGAGACGCTCAGAGTCCTCAGACGTTCGTACCAGGTCAGCAGCTTTGCCGAATTCGGATGTAATACGAACACTGGACTCAGAATCTATATATGCTCTAAATCAATCAGCAATGAATCCATCAAGTTCCTGCGTTGACCGTACGATGCCCATCTCCCAACTAACCAATTCAAATTTTTCCCTCAGCTCCCTGGCCACCAGCCTCAGAGGTTCTCGGCATATGTTAGATGTAGTCCGTGGCACATTTGAACTCCAATACCATTACGGCCGTAGGACCGGTGGTTCCGTCGCTGGCGGCAGTAGTGGTGGTTATCCGTCCGGACGTGCTTCAGCTTCAGCTTCTGTCCGTAGCTTGACAGCGATTTCAGAGAGCCTCCCTATCAGCACTGGTCTTAGCAGTGATTTGCCAATAAATTCATCGCGTAAAACAGCTCACTTCCGCTCTGGGTTGTCCTACGACCCTTCACTCACCAAAGGAAACACAGCTGGACGTCGCGCCATCGCTGCTCGTCGTTCAGCGGCACTAAATGTCAGCGGTCCACTTTTCTCAGGTCATCGTTCACTCCACCACAACACCGATCCCTCTGATCACCTTTGCATGACTTCTGAAATGATGCATGGGTACGATGTGGAGCGAGAGCAAAGGCATCCTAACGACGGTCCTCTGCCACTCCGAAATTCTCCCACAGCTGAGTGGACAAATGTGCACTCCACAGAATCCTCACTTGAATGTCGTCAGGCATCTTCCACAGTTCGTGGACTACAAGTTTTGCGACCTAATGGTCTCCATTTCTCCTCACCCACTTCTGGATCTCATACTAGATCAGAACTTACATCAGCTGGCTTATGCGGTTTGCGACCTCAATCAGCTTCCGGAGCCACTATCCATCCACTAGGTTCACAATTCAAAATCGGATTGTCTCCTTTCATTTCTTCGATTCCTGCTAGCATGGTGGGATTTGACAAAGATGGTGATCTCAACCTAATCGATCGGAACACGAAGCGTACTTTATCTGCTTCCGGTGACCAAGGACAACAGCGCCAGGGTAATAATAGCAGTAGTAATGCCAGCACAGACAAAAATAACAATAATAGTTTCATCACAGCTGATAATGTGCACTTTCCTGATTCCAATCACATGGTTTCTACCTTAGCACCTTGCAAGCGGACACGTTCTAGACATCTGGTTCACACGTTGTTCCAAAAACATGACCATAAGGTTGCATGCTGTACAATATCTTGATAAAAAAAAGTCCACATAAAAAACCTTTACTTCGCTAGTACTTCGACCATCACGATCCAACTATGTCGTCTTTCTAGTCTTTCATTGCCTCGTTTTTTTTCGGGTGCAACCATCCTTTCGATTTTCACACTATGACTTGATCGACTCATGCAACACTCTCTTTTATTTTGTTCTTTTTCGTCCGCACTACTTTCTGTTACTGTACAGTTTATTTGCACCCGACAGTTCGGTCATCAGATTATGCATTTGCTTGGGTCACTAGTTCGGAGTCCACGTGTATTTTAATCAGACTCAGTTATCTTCTTGTGAACTTGCTTTATGTGCATGTGGCTTGTTTCGTTGTGTTTTCGTGCCCTTTTCCGCCAATTTGTGTGCTTCTGTTAAGGTTGATCCATATCCATCAAGGTCCGTCATGTGTGAAGTTCGATTGCTACTACGCACAACACACCGTTTCCACTATCATTACTCTGTGCTACCTACCTCACTTCTGTATTGAGTCTGCTTCACTGATTTCGACACCGTTTCTGAGTATGCATCATTTTTGCTCAAAGGAGATCTTGTACAAATCCATCATACAATCCCGATGATACTGATATTCACACTTGTCTGTTTTACTTTTCAACAGCACACGCACTAAGCTTTACAGTACAGAAGACTGCAGTGTAAGTGATGATAGGTGTAAAAACCAAAAACGCCACCTGATGCGAATGAAAACGTCACATTGAAGGTCACAGGGAAAATATTCCCACCGTACTCGATGTATTGCAGTTAACGACTTGGAATGTGTGGTAGCTTCTGTCGGCACTGGGTGCTCTGCTGGTTATTCGGCACATTTACTGCCGTCAGTGAGTTGGTTATTTGTGAACTACACCCGGAACCATTACTTTCCTCAACGAGAGGACACCAGCGGAAGTCTATTCTCGTAGTCAAAACAGCTAGCGAGAGTCCAGTCCCAGGCATCCTGAAGTGGAGGGATGGAATTTACAGTTTTAGCTGGGTCCCACAAACCGCCTTTGTGAATTTGTAACGGAATGGTTTTTTTTCGTGGGTATGCCATATATTCAACGCTCTTGCGTATTCATGACATGCCAGTACAATGGAGTGAGCATGTATAATGACCGTCATCTCCTGTCATCTAGGTTCTCCTGGCGCTCTTCAAATTACAAGCATACCAGACCATTAAAGCCGTTCATTTTCATGGAAATATATAGGCTCCCTTTGAATTCGTCAGAATAAGCAACAAGGGCGAGATGGCTCAGTGGCCGGAGCGCGAATTTACTGATCGGAAGGTCCGTGCTTCGAATCTGACCTCTGTATCTCGACTTCTCCTGTATAGGCTTGGGTAACCTGGCAGTATCCCGGCCCTCGGGTTTCCTTCCGGTGGGATAGCAGTTAGGCATCGAAAGGATGTTACATCTGAACGATTTTGTTTACAACCCCACACACTTCTCGTAATGAATACTGTTCATTTAGACATGAATGATTCGTGAGCCCTGTTAGGAAGGTGGACAGTTCCTGCAAGGGACATGCATAGATCTTCGGTTTAGTCCGTGAACCGGTCAGAGGTGTTTGTTCATTAGTTTATTCAACCCTTTGTCTGAGGAAGAAGGCGTGATTGCTAGAGAGCCTATTTGAGTGCTGTGTAAGCTATATAGAGTGTACACCAAACGACGAGTGTGTCAAAGTTCATACAAGCACTGCGT